AAACTTAAGAAGAGTTGACACTGAAAAAGGATGCAAATGAACAGAGAGCCAGGCTTGCAGTTTTGAGAGCCAGGTGTGTCTGCTTGGCTGTGAGGAAATCCCAACAACTGTGGTCTTTGCGTCAATGTGACTGTTATTGCATTCCTAAAGTGTTACAAACTTACGGGTAGACCAAGTTAAAACATCCTTGTGCCTTGGATGACTAGGTTTGTTTCATAGTCCTCTGTATGTATATATATATATATATATGTATATATATGTATTTATGTATGTATATATATATAGTCAGTTAAAACAGGAAGAACATAAGAACATAAAGAAAAGCTCTCAAACAAAATAAACAATTCACAAACAGGGGCTTGGAGTCCTGACACACGGAAAAACCACGGAAGAGAATTATGGAGAAATGGATCCATGACAATGCAGGGAAGATGGTTTGAACAGTGCTCAGAGACAAAAAGGAGCCACTAAAGAACAAACGCACACAGACACACATATACACACTACACACACACATGCATATACAGATACATATACACCCTACACACACATACATGTACACACATGCATATACATACATACACACACCACATACATACACACACATGCATATATACACACATACACACACATGCATACACACACACACACACACACACACACGCATGTGTGCTCGCAAAAATATTGAACAAATGATAGCCAGGTCCCACAAATCCTGATAACATGACATCCTACTTATTAAAAACATCAGTCTTCTTGGAAGACTCTAGGCACAGTCATTTTGAAAATGTACACAAGTAAATTAAAACCAGCTTATGATTCTTCTCATTGTAAGTCACTCACCCAGATAGCTCTGCAAAACTAATGCAAATATTTAAATTAAAAGAAAAGAGTCAACCTGAACATTGCTGATTTTAAGCAAGATTCCCAAGTTTTCCATTTTTAATTGGAATGAAATCTGAAAGCCTTTTGACATATGAGGAAAACGTGTTTTCCTAGGAAGATTAGTTTCAGAATGAAGAGAGTAAATATTAAGCCTGCAGCTAAAAGGCATATGTGAACATTTCATGTACTTTCTCTGACTCATTGGTAGAAGTCACTTTGGGACTTTGGTGTTTATCACTGGTCACAGGCCTTTCCAACATGGAAATAGCAGGCTATAATGCCTGGAGATCTGGACCAAGAGTCACAGCCCCAGAGTTTACAACCGAACAGACCATGTCTCCTTCTTGCTCAGTGCCTTCGTTTACAAAACAAACAATATTGAACATTTCTGGAAGGCTCAAAATCCAAATGAGCGGAAGCATTGGAGTTATCTAAATAGCTGGAAAGCCCTATTTAACTGGTTGGCTTCTGTCCATTCCTTAGAGTAAGGGCCATGAATCTGGTTGGGCCACGTGATACAGGAGAACAAGAAAGCAAGCTAGATAACTCCTCTAGACCTGCCGTTGTCACTCATGCTGCAGAAGCTCACAGCCTGGTGCTTTGCGTTCAGGTGAGGTAAGGGAGTGCTGGAGCACACAGAGGGGCCGGTGTTGTTGGGGTGTCACCACCCTAGTGCTACCATTACACCTTTGGACTCCAGCTAAGGACTGGTTCTTTCATTTAGGGCATTTGCTCTGTTTCAGACAGTTTGAAGGGTCAAGCGTTTACTTTGTATCGATCGTGAACATCATAGCATAGGCTACCTATTCCTGAGAGTAGTTTTGGTATGGAACGCAAGAAAATATAGAAATGGCCCGGCTAGCTCGTTCAGTATAGCATACGCTGAATCTCAGGGTCCTGTCCCACGTTGGGCACCAAAATGTAGGTGAATCTATAAGACCGAGAGCCTGTTTGAATGGGTAACAAGGATTTATAAGAAAACACTCACCAAGGTAGACAGCCCCCCATGGTCTTCCATTCTGCCACGGGAGTGAATGGAACCAGCAGTGAGATCTCTGACTACAGAGTGAGAAAGGGAGAGAGACAGAGACAGACACAGAGAGAGACAGAGACAGACAGAGAGACTGCCCCCTCTTTCCTTTAAAGGGGTCATTACCCCAAACCTATTGGCAGAATGAATTCCCACAACAGATTCACTTCCATCACTCCCCCCCATACACAACCTCCACCCTTTCTGCAAACACACAGCATGCATGTCACTCAGTCATGCTTTGTTTCCAAACAGTGATGGGGGACAACTCTGAGAAACCACCAACAGTCATTCCTGACTTTTGTGTTCACAGCATAAACAAAGTATTCAGAAAGGAGACTGGCGGTTTGAATGTAATTGCCCCCCCCCATAATCTCACAGGGAGTGACACTCTTAGGAGGTGTGGCTTTGTTGGAGTGGGTGTGGCCTTGTTGGAGGAAGTGTGTCACTGCTGGGGTGGGCTTTGAGGTTTCCTATGCTCAGGTTACTGCCCAGCGTCTCAGTCAACTTCCTGTTGCCTGCAAGATGTAGGACTCCCAGCTGCTACTCTAGCACTGCGCCTGTCATGCTCCCCATCATGATGATAATGGACTGAAACTCTGGACTCTAAGCTACCCAATTAAATGTTTTCTTGATCTGAGCTGCTGTGGTCATGGTGTCTCGTCACGGCAATAGAAACCCTAACAAAGACAGAGACCAAAACATAGAATGAGCACAAGGAGTTAACTAACGTTTGAGTTTTAGGCAGAGTGGCAACTGAACAGGAGATTTTTTTTTATGTCTACCTTGAGGCAATTATACCAGGAGGCTACTTGCTTCCCCTGAGTGGAGACTGAACCTAGCAACAATCCTGGCATCTCTAATTATATAATGAATGATACTAAGAGGAGAATTAAAATGAAAGGTTTAGTACTTACTAGGAAACATCCCCCCCAAACTCCAGGCTTGAAGATGTCATCACCAACAGCCCCATTTTTAACGGCTAGGAGGGTTGCTTATGGAAGTGTCATTCATTAAGATTAACCACCCCCCTCCCCGTGTCTCCTCTGCATAAATAACAACATCCTAACTGACAGATTCTTGGCTCAACCAATCGTCTTTTAAACATGCAGGCTAGTCAAAAAGAAATATTTATTAGAGAAAAATTGGAGAGGGTGAAACTGGAAATGATCACTCAAAATAAGGGGAAAAAAATCCAGCCTCATTAAGAGAGAAAAAAAATATGGGCATTCAGAGCTAGCCAGACACGAAAAATATGTATGAATAAACAGTAAAGCAGTAATCTCGTGCTGGCACGGTGGCCTTTGAGGGGGTAATGGCTCGAATGGAATCACCAGGGAATCTGGGGCCAACTTCCCATGTTTCCCAGAAGACTTGCAGATACCAAGGAGCCCGGTAGACTGTTTTACCAGGTGGACACGTTTCCTTTGGTTTACATGGTCAGCATTTCCCCCAAAGCCTCAGGACATCCTAGAGCTCATCATTTGTGTTCTAATTATTTTTATACAAAGGTATCATCATTCACACAAATGCCCAGCCTCAATTCTCCTACTCTATCTGTAGCAATTATTCTATGATGTTACTAAAATTAATTGCAAGTTTAAAAAAAAACTCATAATTTTCTTTGATTTAAAATGTTCTGCCTTTGTATTTTTCAACTCTCCTCTGTCCCTTTATTATTAAAAACATAAATAAAACATCCAGCTATTCCCCTCTTTGAAATTTATTATTTTATGTTTATCAGCTTTCTATATTTTTCCTCTCAAAAAAAAAAAAGTCCTAGCAGGTTACCTCTGAAATTCTTGCTACACTAACTAGTTACTTTATCTCACCTCGCTTAAATTATTCCTTTTCCAGCTGTGTCTGTTTGTTTGGCAATGGCGGCAAGAGGAGCAATGAGGGGAATCTGTAACACAGAGCCTGGTGTCTGCTTAGCATCCAGTGCGGCTGTAGGGAAAAGAGGCACTGAGGGAAAGCTTCCTTGTTTTGTTGTTGTTGCTCAAGATTGGCCTTTGCTAGAAGTAAAACAAAGATGAGTAGTGAATAAAAGAATGTCAGGTGACTGATAAGCATCTCTTCTGGGACTATCAGGGAACTGTCATGGAGATGTCTGTGGCAGGAATTTAGGACCTATCTATTATGGCCAGGATTGTCAGGACTCTACAGGGGTAACTCGTGGCCCGAATCTAGGCTTTAGTTCTGGGATTACCGTGGTCCTGGAAAACCGGCACCGTTTAACAAAAATGGAGGAACTTTTCAAAACGGGCATGGTATTAGCTAGCACTCCTGGCTTTTGTTTTATACAGGATGGAGAAGGGGACACAGTGATTCTTTTCAGCTGGATGAGGTTGGCATCCTCACTCTGGTGTCTTGGGTAGTCTGTGGTGTCAGAAGTTTTGGAAGAGGTCGCTGCTCTTGTGTGATTGGGGATCCTTCTCCAACAGCCTCCAAGACACTATGCATCTATCTAGCAACCCAACATCAGTTTTGGGGAAAGGGGGCTCTGTGAAGGTGGGAGGCATTCCCCAATGCCCTCCAAGCTGATCATATTTACCTAGCTGCCCGGCATTCTTCCCTGACCAGCTGAGGCCCTAAAATCATTCAGGGAATGTAGTAAAAATCAATCCGACTGCTTCCGGCTGACGCTGGGGAGCACAGAGGGCCTTATGGTCTATAACCTAGCTGACCTTCAAGAGAGCCATCTGTGGGACACACCCAGACAGGCAGATTGTCCTAGTTGTAAACAAGAACAGATACACGTGAGACAGCAGTTGAGTACACAGAGTCCAGGGATTAATGTTAATGCCACTGAGGTTGTAGCAGATTTGACCCATTCTCTCTGAGAATTCAGAGATTCATTTTTAGTGCTGTTTACCTACAAGGTGGTGGCATTTTCTATGGTCTTGATCTGATTCTGTAGACTTTATGAAACAAACGGAATTACCAAGACTATACGAACAGTGTTCTGTGCTGGGAGTCTCTGCTCAAGCCTCACCCCCCCCCCCCCACTCCAAACTCCACCCAGTGGGGCTGGGTATCTGGCACCACTCCTCCTGTTCCCAGACCCCACCCCTCCAAGGGTCAGCTCCTCCCCCTGGAGCTAAGTACAGCAAATGGTGACACTTCCCAAGGAGCAGAGAGGAAAGGTGAGGATCCCTGTAAGGTAGACTGGACCGGAGGCTTTCCGTGGAGCCCAGAGACGGACCCAGAACACCTAGCAGAAGCAGACGAAAGGGTGGAGCCAAGGAGTCTCACAGCAGTGGCGGACAGGATGGGGGTGGGGTGGGCTGGGGGGGCATTCCGTTGTGGCGAGTGGCAAAGCAGGCATGGAGCGAGATCCAGTCTCCAGTCTCTCTCCCGCGGTGGCCACAGATGGGCTGGGGAAACTCTCCCAATAATAGATCCGGCATGAGAAATCACTGCTTCAGCAATCACAGGATTAGACAGTGGCAGTCTGGAAACCATCGATCACGGATCTAGTATCATCTCTTAAGTCTCATATATGAGATACACTGACCGCATTGCACAGCAGTAGAGACACCAGAAAGCATAGTGTTAACGTGTAGTACAAGACAGACGGCCAAGGTGGGAAGCCTTGGGCAGACAGGCCTGAGTGGTGCTCGCTGATAGGGGACTGGATGTCTATATGAGCTTCAGTTTACCTTCTGGAAATGGCTGAACTCAGAGGCCAGCACAGGGAACAATGAACAGGGAGAAGAAGTCAAAAGTTTACGTGGTAAGAGAAGGGAAGCTTAGCAATGCCCAGGAAGGGCTTTAATTAAACTTAATGTGTTCACTCAAGCCCAGATATTTTTTTTTGAGACAGGGTTTCTCTGTATGGCCCTGGCTGTCTTGGCACTCACTCTGTAGACCAGGCTGTCCTGGAACTCGCAGAGATCTTCCTGCCTCTGCCTCCCGAGTGCTAGGATTAAAGGCGTGCACCACCAATGCCCTGCTCCAGATTTTTTTTTTTTTAAGACAGGGTTTCTCTGTGTGGCCCTGGCTGTTTTGGCACTCACTCTGTAGACCAGGCTGTCCTGGAACTCACAGAGATCTGCCTGCCTCTGCCTCCCAAGTGCTGGGGTTAAAGGGGTGCCAGCACTGCTTTTGGTCAGGGTGTTTCATCACAGCAGCAGGGGGGAGGGAAGCTGGAGGGGCAGCCTCTCAGGAGAAGGGAAACGGTGCTCCCCCATTCCTCTTCCAACAAGTGTGCTCAGGCTCCCTCACGGTTGCTTTAAATCTCATTTTCCTCGGAGTGACTGTGTCTAGAAAGCCCCGTGTGCTGGCCCAGCTTGCCAGTGTGCCCCACAACGAGCACACGCAGGTGATTTCCTATTCTCCGTTAGCCTATCTCTATAGATCTACCCCACACCCAGGCTACCTCAAGGGGAAGCGCTGGGGCAGATGGGCTGTGCTCCTGGGCTCTGGGCTTTAATGCCATCAGCCTACACAAACCCAATCGGGAGGCGCTCGATAAGCGTTTGTTAGCATGTCCATCATCCCTGTTAGAGACACAATGGGGCACACATAAAAGGGGAAGGCTGGCCAGTCCTTTGTCCCTTTATTACACGGACTCTATTCCCAACGGTCCAACGTGAACCGCGCCGGGAGAGAGAGAACAGAGGCACAGGTGAGTCAGCCGCAGGCGGAGTCGAGGTAAGTATGCGCTCGCTCCCCTGCTGCCCGGTCCGTAAAGTGTTCCTAGCTGCTTGCAGACACGAGCATCAAGTCTAGAAAAGAGGCTGCGGGTGTCACAAAGCGCATGCGCCCCCATGTACTGGGCACTGACACGGGGTTCCCGCGGGGCACCGCGGTTCCTGCCAGCTGCTCTCAAGTTGTTTCTCATGCACACTCCCAAGACTGGGGTGTTGCTTCCGGCAGGCGCTATCTGTAGACTTCATTCTACCCAGTCAGAACGCATCAAGATCTTGACCATCGTGTCTAGCTTGGCTCGGGAAATATCCGGGACATTTTCACACGAGACAATTTTATGTTGCTTGATAGTCACGCTGTTTGTTTTTAACCCTCAAGATAACCACAAAGGTTTTATTTTTTAGTGATTTATGATTAGTGTGCGTCCATCTGCCACGAGCACTCATACACCTGTTTGTTTCTCTAGTCACCTAAAGACTCAGTGCAATCTGTTTGGTGAGTTTCAGGTCAATGAGAGACCCTGTTCCAAAATACAAGGTGGATATGACCTGAGGAGCCGGGCCTGAGGTTGATCTCTGGACTTTGCACGTATACACACACACACACACACACACACACACACACACACACACGTGCATATATACATATATTCACAGAGACAGAGTGACCTGCTATATAAAACCCCAAATAAGGAATAAAGAGTGGTTTGCGATTAAAAAGAATATTTCAGGCAACTGACTTTTATGCAAGTGGGTACTTAGTCACTCCAAGGCCTTTTCAAATGCATACTTTTTGTAGTTCTGCCTTCTGATAGCATAGGTAAAGACACCAATGAAAAGATGTCTAGCAAAGGGACCAGAGCAATGGCTCGGTGGTTAAGAGCACTTGCTGCTCTTCTAGAGGCCTTGGGTTTGGTTCCCAGCACCCAAGGTGGGTGGTTCACAACTACATGTAACTCTAGCTCCAAGGGATATGACACCCTCTTCCGGTCTCTCTCTGGACATGTGCACACAGACACACACACACACACACACACACACACACACACACACAGAGAGAGAGAGAGAGAGAGAGAGAGAGAGTTTTTTAAAGCTTATGTAAATAAGCCCTTTAAATTCAAGTCAAGTTCACAGTTTTGCTAGCCTTGAACCCTGGTCCTCCTACCCCAGCTTTGCCTCAGCTTTGAGTGTTGGCCTCCAGGGCCCAGCATTGGGCTTGGCTTGCTTATCTCACAAAGAGGACTTAGCACAGTGTTACCAGACAACCCTGCAGTAATGAACACGAGGCGTATTTTGCGAACGGTATTTATGCCCAGCTAAGTGATGACTTCAGCATCAAAGATCCCTTCATCTTTGTCAACACAGCCCCATCTAACTTTCCTAAATTGACAAGAACCGTTAGTTATGCTAAACGCCTAGGTCGCTGGAACTTTTTTACAAAGGCTCTGTGAAAATCCCCAGATGCAACTTCCCCTCCAAAAACAGCCTGTTCCTAGCCTTGGGGGGTGGGGCGGTCATTTTGGTTTATTTTGTTTGTTTTACTGCAGAAACAAATTGCTCTTGGCAATCAGGGTTGATATTCTTTTAAAGTAATTCTTCTTTTCCCCCATGAAGGGAAAACTATTTTAACTGACATTTATCACCAGACGGAATAGGAATCATTTTCGGTTTTGAAATTTTGGAAGAAACATGCCCCATCTGTTTCAGTAACCCAACTGGCTGATTACATAGCCAGGAATGACTGCCACAGAAGGAATGACCACGGCGGCGGTGGCGGGGTTGGGGGGTAGGGGAGCGGGATCCTCTTATTGCTTTATCTTACATCACTAACTGATTAATGAGCAATTATGGAAAACTTGAAACTAACTTATGCCATGTGTTTGTGCCACAAATTAGATGCCCAAAGAAATCACAACTCACTCTTGGTCTGTCATTTGTGACTCCTTAAAATGAGAGATGGAGGACCTGACAAGATGATTCCTACTCACAACCCTCCCCAAGCCTGCGGCCCTGAATGTGGATGCCAGGACCCATGTGTGGAAAGAGAACATAGCTCCCGTGCATTGTCCTCTGACCTCCATGAGCACGCTGTGGTAACACACGCTCTGCATAACTTAACAAATGCAGAGAGAGAGAGAGAGAGAGAGAGAGAGAGAGAGAGAGAGAGAGAGAGAGAGAGAGAGAGACATCTTACGTCGCTTTGATCAGCTTTACTCTGCTTTTTAGGGAGAGGTTACCGGACAGTGGGTGTCTCCGCTAACAAGGAAGAGGTGAAACGCTGACTGTTCACGGCAGGACCCCAGCTCGCTATGGCTAACGTGGCAGGCAGACCCAAGTGCACCAGGGAAAGACCGATCCTCAGCTTCAACAGTTGCATGTTTGAGAAACAAAGTGAGTTCTTGTGCCTCTGATTCCTCATCTGCGGTAGCTGGTAGGTCTCAAACCTAGGACAACTGGCTGAGGTGCCTATTTAAGGTAACAGAGCGGATCGGGCTAACAGGTTCTCCCTCGGTTCCTACCTGTTACAGGGTCCTCCCGGCTAGCGTATCCCATCCCCTACCCTGCACTCTGCAGCCCAGGGGCCGGACTGCCCTTCCCTTGACTGCCCTCCCCTACAATAACCCGAGCATTTCTGACCCATCCGACGAGAGGGACAGCCAATGTAAGACCGAGGACACCTAGGAGAAAACGGGGGACAAGGGGTACAAAGAAACGGACGGCAAGACGGTATTCTGATCAAGCCGACCACCTTTATTCATCCCAAAGGGGTTTATATAGGGGCCATAGGTGGCAAGTGAGGAGGGGAAGAGGCTGGTGGGGTAAAGGTCAGTGGGAGGGGTTAGGCCATCCTGCGTAGCCTGGTAACCTAACTGCAGGTTTCAATTCTATCTTTCACAATCTCAGCCTCTATTGCTCAAGCCTATCGCCCAAGTGACTTGGTAATTTTCACTAGGCTTAATCTTCTTAATCTTTAACTGACGGATAAGCCACGAGCCTGTTTCTCGGAACTTGCTTCCTGTCTCAAGAAGCGGTATTTCTGCAGTGTGGCCTGGAGTCATGTCCTCTCTAGGAGGAGGGCGTTGATAATGCTAGGGCTGGATTGTGGCGGAGGTCCCTGACATACTTTAGTTACCAGCGCTCTCTGTGTACCTTTGGGCCTCCCGGAGGCTGCACCTGGTTCCGTTCTTTTCCCTCCCCCTTTTCCTTCTCTCTCTGTCACCTACTGCTCTCCTCACATGGTACAGCTTATTAGGAATAACGGGGCATGGGTTGGGGCCACATGGTGCAGGTCCCTGATCCCACACTGGTCACGGTCCCAGGGCAGGTGATGGATAGTGGGCCGATGGGGAAACAGAGACCTGTAGACGGAACTCATATTGAAAGTCTTATTGAGGGGGAGGTCAGAAAAGAGGTAAAGAGACACAGAGACAGAGAGAGGACAGAAGAGAAGAGGGGGACAAGAAAAGTCCTGACTGCCCCAGGGGAAGAGCGGGAAAGAGAGCCTAAGTGGCAGGGTCTTTTAAAGGGGTCCTTTGCACCTGCGTGCAGACAATGCAACCATGGAACCCTGGGCTGACCAGGGTACTGCCTGAGTGCATCCTGCCAGGTGACAGGGGCGGGCCAGCATAGTGCCTGAGTCCTCACACAGCTCAGTCTGGTCATGTCCACTCTGGATTCTCCGGCGTCTCTGCCTCTAGCTATGCAACCCCACATATCTACAACAAACTTTCTTCTTCACTGCACCCAGGAGTAGTCATCTTTCCTTTCCTTTCCTTCTTATTTCTTTTTTTTCCATTCAGTAACATTCATGGGGCTATTATGAATTTAACTATTGTGGCCATTTAATAAAAAATGCCCCCCATAGACTCAGGGAGTAACACTGTTAGGAGGTGTGGCCTTGTTCCAGTAGGTGTGGCCTTGTTCCAGTAGGTGTGTGATGGGGGAAGTCCTGTATATATGTCAATAAAGCACTGTTGGCCAATAGGGAAGCAAGATAGGTGGGACTTGGGTAGGAGTCAAGATGTAACCGCCATAGGGGTAAGACGCCCGGGCCCTTTTCTCTGGTAAGAGAAATACTTAGATTGGCAATTATGGGATAAATACTTAAGTCAGAGATAGCCAGTAAGAAACAAGCAAGGCCAACAGCTTCATAATTAATACAGCGTCTTGTGTGTTATTTGGGGACAATAACGCGGCAGAGCCCAGGCGGCTGGTAGGGAAAAACCAAAGCAGCTGGACAGGAAAAGGCTTCTCTCTACAGGTGTGGCCTTATTCCAGTAGGTGTGGCCTTACTGGAGGAAGTGTGTCGCTGTGAAGGTGGACTCTGAGGTTTCAAGTGCTCAGGACAGACCCAGGGTCTCTATCGACTGCCTGCCTACCCAGACGTAGAACTCTCAGCTACTCTACAGCATCATGCCTGTCTGTGTGCTGTGCTTCCCGCCACAACAATAATGCACTAAACCTCTGAACTATAAGCCGTGCCCCAATTAAATGTTTTTCATTTTTTTTTGTTTTTTTTCTCAAGACAAGGTTTCTCTGTATCGCTTTGGAGGCTGTCCTGGAACTCACTATGTAGACCAGGCTGGCCTCGAACTCACGGAGATCCGCTTGCCTCTGCCTCTGCCTCCCGAGTGCTGGGACTAACTCTTTATAAGAGTCGCCATGGTCACAGTGTCTTGTCACAGCTACAGAAACCATAACTGAAACAAATATCTAACACATGTAGTGTTCAATGAATGGTTTTAATACTGACAGCACTGATGGGGAGCGATCTTCTGTGTATGCGATTGTCTTATTGGTTGATGAATAAAGCACGGTTGGCCAATAGGGAAGCAAGACAGGTGGGACTAGGAGAGGTGGAGAAAAGGGATGCACAGTCAGTCACCCCGCAGGAAGCGAGAGGAGTAAGAGGTCTGGACCCTTTCTCCGGTAAGAGAAAACCACGTGGAAATACTCAGATTAGCAGTTATGGGTTAATAATCAAGTCAGACCTACCCAACAAGAAGCCATAGCAAACGGCCAACAGCTTCATAATTAATATAGCGTCCTGCATGTTCATTTGGGACTGCTGGGGCTCTGGGACCAGGCTGGCAGGAAAAATGCTCGTTATGCAGCACCAGGACAGTCACTGTGGATACTATCACTAAACACCTTTGGGTTTTCTGCCTTCCCCAGGTCTCCAGGAAAAGCACATTCTCTCTGTCAGGGTTGCTCCTGTGCTCCTGTCATCAGTCTGGCTCTCAATTCCGGCTGCACAGGAGACACTTCCAGAAAACTTAGGGGGATGCAGAAGATGTAACATCTAGGATTTACCAGGGTGAGGTTTTAATGTGGTCCATCTTGGATGAGGAACAGAAATCAAATCATTTTTGCTACGGTTCCTCATTTCCCAGGAGTCTCTTGGGTTCAGCTGGATGGGAGGACCTTTCCATTGTCCAGGGAGCACTGAGTCTTAGGACTCCTTCCAGCGGCAGTGCTCCCTCTTGAGACAGTCTGAAGATGAGGTAGGATGGGCAGCTTGCTTGGTGACTTCTGCCCTGTGCCCCAGTATCCGACCGCACATACCACTTCACCCTCTGGCACCCTTGTCTAAGACGCATTAAGACCCCCCGCCCGCCCCCGCCTCTTCCAATGTCCAGTAAATCCCAACAAAGATCCCCGTTTCCGCAGTGAAATCTTCTGACTTCAGAGAGAGATCAAATACAGTTATCACGATGAATGGCTGCAGCTCAAGGGACTCCATGTTAAACAGCCGGCACGTCCCTTTGAAGGAATAAGAGCTTCCTAACTAAGTTGCCGTTCTTGCTTTATGTTCACTTCAAACGCTCCCTTTACACTTGACTAAAAAGAGGGAAGGGAGGAGAGGAGGTAAGGACGACGACACCCACATCCAAAGGGTCGGAGGGACGGGACATTCAAAAGAGCAGGAGAAAAGCCTCCCGGTTTGACGCTGCCTGAAAACTGAAATTCCGGTGACCTGACCTTTTCATTTCTGCATTCACCCCACAGGTTCAGTATTGGAAAATCTCAAACACCGCCAGAACGCACACACACACACAAAAGAAGCTAAAAAGTGACTCACAAACCCAGCGCCTTCTTGTTTATTTTCAGCATCTAAACCGAAGGACGGAGCTTGGCCCTCTCCCTTTTCTCCAAAGGCGACTCATGCAAAAATGGCCTCATAGTCGTTACCATATCCACATCTTAGCCTGGCGTTTTAGCTTCTGTGCTAAGGGCCTCATGCCAATTCTGCCACTCAATTCCTTCCATAAGTCTCTGCTACGGTGTCCCCCGAGAGGCCAGGGCGCTGACCCCCCCCCCGCTTAGCGCCATTGGGGGTGGGGCCTGTACCTGGAGGAGCCCCCTCAGAGGTCTGCAGGTCATTGTCACGTGCTTCAGAGAGGGTGGGGACCCTCCCTTGTCCCCTTCTATCTCTTTGCTCCCTCACCCCGGGGAAGATGTTCCTATCGCCTCCTGCTGCTACCGCATAGCTCTGCCTCGTGGGCGTGGGAGCCGGCACGCCAGTTGACCAAAGACTGGCAGTCCTAAGACTGTGCGTGATGTGTGACCTTTGGTCTTCACGTTTCAGCTACAGTAAGCATTTTTCCATGGTGACAGGAAGCTGGCAGAATCGGCTTTGCTCCCCTTTCGGGGGCGAAGGGATGAAGCCTCGCAGGAGCTCTCCATTCATTCATTCATTCACTCGACAAACATCGGCATTCCTGGTTTGTGACGGTCTCCACGCCTAGGCAAGAGGGATGTGGGACTGGGTCAGCTGGATGTGGGGGAGCACAGATCATGTCCCGCCAGAAGAGGGAGTGGCCCAACTGACCCCCGGAGTCATTATGAGACGGCACTGGGAGGGAGCTACGGAAGGCGAGGCTTCAAGTGTTTACTAAGAAAAACAATTGGCTGCCCACGCTCACGACAGATGAGGTCATCACACTCGCAGACCATGCCCAAGAGGAGATAGGACACAGATACATGATGGGAATATCTTTAAATCACTGGGTAATACTTCTCCTGCCCTGCGGGGTTTTTTTTTAAACTTTAAGACGGCTTTGCTGTTAAACAATAAACGAGATCCTGCTTGACTCCTGTCTGTCCTCTGTACATGCCCAGTGACTCGGTCTTTCCTGTTGCTATCACAGAGTACCACACACTGATTAATTTATGAAGAAATACTTCTCGTAGATCTCGAGGCTGAGAATGCCGACCTCGAGTCCTGGTATCTGCTGTGGCCTCCCTCATGCATGGTCCCCTAAGAGACTGCAAGAAAGAAGGAGGGAAGGATATGGGAGGGGGTGGGCGATGGGGGAAGTCCTCCTGTGTATATGTCTCCCTTTGGTTAACGAATTAATGAATAAATCACTGTTGGCCAATAGGGAAGCAAGATAGGTGGGACTAGGAGTCGAGGAGGATTCTGGGAGACAGAGGCAGAGTCAATGATAATGTAGGACACAGGAGGAGTAAGAAGTCCAGACTTTCAAAAAGTCAGGAAATCTCTAACTAAAGAAAGACTTGAGTCATCTCTGTGGTTGAGTTCAGTTACTGCCACACTCTTTCTAGAAATCCCCTTTAGGCAAGACATGACTGGATATGCTCAAACTGTGACCTAGTTGATCAGAGGGGCCTCAGGGATTAACCATCCCAGTGCTTGCAATTTAGTGGTAGTTGTTTGGTCAATGTCCCTGTATGAGTAGCTAATGAAAGCTGTTTGTTACCTCACATTCAAAGTCAGGAATGTGTGCTGAATACTTACTATGTATTATTTCTACCTCCTTTTTTTCTTTGCAATTATGCAAATGGTCTGGAAATGGCTGGGGATGTGGTTTGGTGGCATACTTCTTGCCTAAGCTGGGAAGGCCCTGGGTTCAATCCCCAGCAAAGGAAATAGGAGAACGGAATGGTTTTAACTTGAGTCCTGCGTCTTAAGGACAGCAGCACCAATCTTCTAGAGTTAAAGGAAGGGTGACTGAGGTAAAACGTGCAAGTCCCCTGGCGTGAAGCTGTTTTTATTGTTATATATTTTTCAGAGGGTGCAACAGATTCCGAAGGGTTAAATCACTGACATACCGTGACTTCTTCAGTTTCCCACTGGAACTGAACTACTAAAGCAATGTTTCGCCTCTGGACTTTTGGGGCAAACGCTTCCAAATCCCTCAGGTGCGTGAGAAGCATTTGGTCCCCCCACACTGGCTCAAGTGGGTGTTCTGAAAGCTCTGATGCTCAGACCCTGAACTCACCATCCATCTCCTGGGCCATGTTTTCCCCTCCTGAGAAATGGGAAGAACCTTCCAAGCAGGTGTGAAGAGCGAGAACAGCATAGGAACCATGCAGGAAACTGTTTTGCAAACTGTAAGAGAGTCAGTGTTTCTAGCTAAGCCAAATCCTTGCCAAATAAGAAAGGACAATGTCCAGGGTCCCCGAAACAGTATCATCACAGGGGCTGTTGTAAGAAACCAGTGAGATCATACTTCAACCAGAGCACCCCACAATCTTAAAACACAACGTCTTGGGATGTCCCCAAATGAGGAGTGATTTGGGCGTTAACAGGGCCTAAACTGGGAAAGCTCTGTAGCTGCCCTCATATAAGAGGACACAGTTAAAACCCAGAGGCAATATAAACCCTGCATAAAATTATCTGTAGGAAATGTATGTGAAATTCAAATCGTCTTTGTGTCCTTAGGCTTGGGTCCCATACCACAAATATGTCATGTGTTTGCAAATATTGCAAAGTCAGGCAGGAAAAAGAAAAACAATCCAGGCATTTCCAGTGCCAAGCACTCCAGGTCAGGGATACTCAGCCTGCTACGCATCCTCTCATCACTTAACCCTCAGCCCGAAGCACTCAGACTCTGCTTTAACGGCTGGATGCCGGCCCTCATTTCCCCTACCACGACGGTGTTCCCAGAGCAAACTGCCGTCGCCACAGCTGACATCAGATGCCGTTCTTCAGTGTGCCCTCCCTTTCCTTAGTGAGCAGGGGTTCCATTGATCTGTGGGTAACTAGAAAGCTGTGGTTTGCTGAAGAGGGGCTCCTTCTTTTTTGTGTTTTATATCTGGGACGATGGGGGTACGTCTGACACTTCCTTCCTCAGGTGTGTGATCACAAGCTAAATTAGCTCTCCATCAAGCCAGTCTGTTCTTCTCACCTCTGAGAAGCATGTGAAGAGGTTCAGGAACCATGGGTGTAAGAAGCGCCGTGTGAGCCATGGGCAGCCGTGGATAAGAGAGAGAGCAGCAGCAGCAGCAAGGATGGGCTCCGGTGAGGAATGGCGTGAGCAGTCTTCTTCCTACTCTCTCCCACAACGCCAGCCTCTCCATGGAAACTCTTCACGAAGAGAAGCGAAACTCTTTTTTAAGCTAGGAAAATGTGGGTCTTCCTATGCCCAAGGGAAAGTCTATCTTGGCTCTAGACACAAGTTCTCTAGACCCATATACTTGCAAGTGTGTGTGTGTGTGTGTGTGCACGCGTGCACATGCCTGTACTCATGTCCAGTGAAGTTATCCATCCTTATCCTGAAGTCCCCTCCTCAAAGTGATTTCTCCAGCATCAACTCTGGCTTAGTCAATAATTGTTCATTCATGGGCTTCTTTCAGGAAGTTTGAAGCTAGAAAACTGAGATGCAGGAGATAACATGGTGGCCACGATCACACCTGTGTACACAGTCGATTTTCAGAAAGAAGGGGTGAAATCCCAGAGAAACTGGGGAACTGGACTGAGAGGAGAGGCCTTGTCCCCTGGGCTTGCTGCTACCCAGCACCCTCGCATAAAGTCCTTAAGGCCCAAACTACATTAAATGCACACTAAATTTGCCTTTTGTTCTGTGTGGATCAGAGGCCTGCTTCTCCCTCACAGGGTTCCTGGGTCCACCATGATTCTCAAATCTATATCGAGGCACTGCTCTGTGTTCCTCCGCATGGTGAACCGCCATTTTGGGAAACACCATGAAAAGACTCCGAGCGACTCATAGTGAATCACAGTTTAATGTGCTGCTTTGCTCCAGGACGGCACAGGAGGGGGCATGACGCTATTCTACCTCCAACAACAACATCGGTGGCTACTGTCTCTTGAGTACTACGCTAAGCACATCGTATATACAAACTTATTTAATTCTCATAACCGTCTCCATATTCCTATTTTGTAGGTAAGGAGACTGAGACACGGCAGGGGAAAACACAACCAAAGTTGTACTCCCAGCAGTGTAACTTACAGGAAATACGGCTATGAGTTATGTCCATCCACGACGTACATATAAACGCAACTGTGCAATTACTTCTCTGCGTGCATCCTAGCGAGGGGTGGGGCTAGCCCGCACCCTGTCTGCTTTGTCTATCTGGAGACTTGATGGTTAAGCAAAATGGTTCAGCATTTGCCAGACAGAAAGGAAAGTCCTGTTGAGGCGGGCTGGGAGCCTGCGTACCCTGCACAGAGGAGAGCGGTGCTGGAGAGTACTTATCGTCGACTATCATCCCGCGGTGGACACAAAGTTGAATCACTCCCTCGAGGGAAGCAATCGGTGATGTTGGGAATATGTCTCAGGGTGATGAGGCAGCGTTTCCCTAGTCCAGTCTCTTTGCAAGCCTGATGCCTGCCAAGCTTGAAAGTTGGCCAAGCTCCGCCCACAGGTGCCTTCCTCCTTCCTCCTTCCTTCTTCCCATCACTTCCACTTTCCTTCTCCTCCTTCAGTTTCCTCCAGTAGGAGTTTAAGGAGCCTTCACAACATATTAATTCCTGCCTTTGGGGAGATTATAAACACACACACACACACACACACACACACAGAGTCATTCACAAAACACAGGCAAGAATTTCAGCAATGATAGTAACAGATGTGCAGTGACAAAGTAGAAATATCATAGGCTTAGGAACCAGATTCAGCCCACTTGATTCTATTAATAGGCAGGATCTTGGGCAAGTTGTCTCTGTGTGTGTCCTCATTCCTCATCTGCAAGAGTGAAGGCTAATTATTATCATGACTGTTTAAGATGATAGTTGGGGTGATTAAATGTGGTATGTAATCTGCCTTCAAAACAAAAACGCCTCGTCATTAAGAAGGGAGGACGGCTCAGAGAGTAGAAGCTCCTGCTGTCAATCGTCAACCTTGATGGCCCGAGTTCCACCCCACCCCCACACCCCACGTGGTGGAAAGAGAGAACTGACTTCCACATCGGTGTGCACACACACACACACACACACACACACACACACACACACACACACACGCACCACCCGCACAGTGGCTCACAAAATAAGTTAACTAAAACTGTAACAAAAAAAATAAGTAAATAAAAACCTTGGCATA